ACACATGGTTAAAGGGTCCAGATGCTCCAAGTAGCCTCCTGTTGGGTGAAGGATCTCTAACCACTTCCAGGCTTTACATTAGGCCCCCACCACGTCTTTTTAAAGGAGCAATCTGGGATTCGAACAACAACACAGTGGTCACATGCATTTGCAACATACTCAGGGTTTAACGAGAAAACAAGGAAAACTGACCTCTTGTTTTCCATTAGCACCTGACAACGATAACACAACACACCTAACATTCTCCATTTAAAAAAAAACTCATTGGCCCATAAAAATGATTGCAGGCAGGCTCTAAATGCAGCTTTCTGAGCCCAACGGTGGATAAAAAGCTCACGTCCTCTTCAAACTGTTTTATTTATCAGGATCGCACTTTGGTGGAAAAAAATCACAATGGCATTGAGGGGAGTGTTTGGTTTGTAAACACAGCGGTTGCCATGGCGTCTGATAACACAGCTTAATTAATGGGTTGCTTTTACGAGATTGCTGAGCCTCTGGGGTATAAACGGGTCCACCGGCGAGGCTGCACCGGCATCTTATCATGACAGGACGCGGCGTGAGGAACCTCGATCAAATCTTTGGTAATTCTTTATTGAATTTATCTGTCATCCGTTTAAAAAAACGATTGTTGGTGATTCATGGTGGAGATTAAGGATTCACTCAGAGCGACTGGTGGGAGAGTTCATATGGTTCATATGTCTCAGTTTTTATGAATTACAGCTCGAGCGGTTATCGAAACAGTAAAAACATTCCCCCCCGAGACCTCGGAAGAAGTGATTTGTAGGGTTCTCAGAGAGATAGAGATCTGTTCCTTTCGGAAAGGGAGATATATTCTGGAACTGATGGATGTGGTTGATACCAGTGTCTCCATAGTGACATGGTGACAAACAGACAGTGTCTCCATAGTGACATGGTGACAAACAGACAGTGTCTCCATAGTGACATGGTGACAAACAGACAGTGTCTCCATAGTGACAAAAATACAGTGTCTCCATAGTGACATGGTGACAAACATATAGTACCAACAGTGCAATAAAAAAAGTATGTATTTCAGTGAGCGTGCCATAGGAACATCAGTAGGAATCAATGAAGTCAAGATCGCTTTGATTTCTGCTATGTAGGAAGTCTATTTTAATTTGAGTCATTTTCTAGTCTTAGAAATATGACATTGTTGTTGTTGTCGTTATCTTAGTAAGTGGAGAACTTCCATACATAATCAATCCCAAATCTTGTCTTTAATAGTACTAGGTACTGATCTCAACATGCTCTGTTCAGATGTAGGATGGGCTGGCGATGCAACCCACACAGAGGTAACAGAGTATAAGCTATGTGCTATTTGAGGCAGTGCATGGTGTGCTGCAACCTCAAGCAAACTGATGCACGTTCCCCTCCACCACCCCAGTGCACCTTCCCCATTGAAATACATTCATTTGGCGCCGCCATTTTACGCTGTGCTGCTCAGTGTGAATGCACCCTTAGAAGAAAACAAAACGTCGCTGCATTTCTGATGCAGCGATGCAGTTCACTCTCATTTCCCAGTGCTTCCACTCACCTGCATGTTCTGACAGTGGGAGGCGGTGGCGCCGAAGAGGATCTGACACTGTTCATCTGCCGTGTAGGTCATCCCTGGGTGTTTGAATGGCAGGATCACTGAGTTCAAGCTCAGCGGGTCGGTCTGGAGGAGACAACTACTGGCCTTGGACCTACGACACACACGCGTGCATGCACACACACACACACACACACACACACACACACACACACACACACACACACACACACACACACACACACACACACACAGGAACGTTCTCTATTGAGTCACTCTCCGCTAACCTGGAAAAGTAGTGACTTCCGATTGAGGGCATTTTACATCACTATGGCTTGCTATTGAGGGCATTTCACGTCATTATGGCTTCCTATTGAGGGCACTTCACGTCACTATGGCTTCCTATTGAGGGCATTTCACGTCATTATGGCTTCCTATTGAGGGCACTTCACGTCACTATGGCTTCCTATTGAGGGCATTTCACGTCATTATGGCTTCCTATTGAGGGCATTTTACATCACTATGGCTTCCTATTGAGGGCATTTCACGTCATTATGGCTTCCTATTGAGGGCACTTCACGTCACTATGGCTTCCTATTGAGGGCATTTCACGTCACTATGGCTTCCTATTGAGGGCATTTCACGTCATTATGGCAAATACTATTTGAACCCAGGTCTGTATTCATAAAGCGTCTCAGAGTAGGAGTTCTGATCTACAATCAGGTTCCCCCTGTCGATATAATCTTATTAATTATGATCTAAAAGCCAAACACTGATCCTAGATCAGCACTGCTACTCTGAGACACTTTGTGAGTACGGGCCCTGGCCAAATTCCCAGCTGCACTGGCTGTACTTTACTACTGTACTATGGTCAACTAATCATCCACAGCTTTCAGCTGTCTCATTCAACCCCTCATTCCTCCACAGCTTTCAGCTGTCTCATTCAATCCCTCATTCCTCCAGCAGGTTGGCTTTTATTGTCGTGAATCTTAAATGAAGACTAAAAAAGCTAATTTTCGTTTTCATGAATTGTTTTCGGTATAGCCAATTTTGACTTTGCAGCTGGCCGATCTAGTGAAAATCGCACAGTTCTGCCTCCAGGGCAAGATTCATGACAATAAACGTCAAACTGCATTCCTCCACAGCATGACTCCTGTGGCTGTTGTTGATGTTGTAAACAATTCTTTAGACATGCATGCATACTGTCACTGGGGGGGGGGGAGAGGAGTGAAACATTGAAGTATGCACGAAAAGGGCGTCCTGTTCTCTGTGAAATGGATGACACGGGGTAGTGACAATGGACTTCAAATAACCTTTATGAAATTAATAAATATATAAACGTTATTTTAACGTTTAAGTTGGTCAAACTGACATCCAATTAATGAAATGAAATGAATGAAATGATTAATTATCAGGGTGAGAGGGAGGAAGAAAGAGGAGGAAGAGGAGGCTGGTTTACCGGAGGAACTTCTCCACGTCGTCACGGCTACAGCCGGACCAGGAAACGTCGCCCAGGTTCTGACCTTTGACCCACTCTCCCGACATGATGTGGAGGCCGTCCGCACACGACTGGTGGTCGTTGTCGTGACTCACACCCATGCTACAGTCACAGAGAGAAAAAGAATATTATTGACTAAGGTTGCAAAATTCTAGTCTGTTTGTGCCATCATGCCACTCCTTGACACTCCTTATCATGCCATGATACCACAAACAAGGCTAGCAAAATTCCTAAAACTTTCCCAAAACGTATTTTTTCCCAGAAATCCTGGTTGCATGATTTCTCGAATAAGCAGGGTGTAAACTGCGAGGAAATCCAACATGTATTTCGGAAAAATGTTGCGACCCTATTATTGACATTACCAACACATTATCAACACGATCAAGACCAGAGGACAAAAAAATACACCCAACCTGGTCCGAGGAGGACACACTAGCATGAAACCATAACCATGTGTCGTTGCCGAAAAACAAGCAAGGACATGAAAAGCTCTGGGAATTAACAAATAAACATCGGCACAAGTTCACTCAGTCACGGGTATTAAATGCGCCTTGATTCCAGTTGCTGAGGGCACCGAGTCAATGTTCATCTGCTACAGATTTCTATCCAGAGGGAAGGGGAGGATGATGGGTTTCCAAATTAAGGTTGCACCCCCAAATGGCACCCTATTCCCTACATAGTGCACTACTTTTGACCAGAGCCCTATGACCTCATAGGGTTGAAATATCTTGTTTTTCTTTCCTTTTTTTTTGGTGCAAAATTTCATTTTTAACTGCACTGCCCATTTAAAGTGGTTTCATTGCCTTGGCTCTCTAGTGCAAATGAGAGACAAAAGTCCAGCAGTAAAACATCAAGAAACACTGTTAGAAGTGTTTTTGTGGAAATTATTTTATGTGAGGGTTAAATCAGTGGACCAGATCATGGTTTACTTGAAGCTTGACCCCAAACCCCTCCTCTTCTTGACAACAAAACCCCCTCTGATATTTTTTTGGAAATATTCTGCTCTGCATGTCCATGGTGTATTTTAAGTCACTATTCACGTACAGATAATGCACATACATTATCATAAATCATATCCCATAATACGGAATCCTTCATTAGCAATATATTCCCAACAGTCAACCTTCAGATCGTAGACGATTCCCCTCCATGTCTACATTTGGGTTTCCCCTCTTTTTCTCTCTCTTGTTTTTTTTGCAGCAGGACAAAGTGAGACCTCCCGGGCCTATTGTGAAATCGCATTCGGTGAGAAAAGATCACGTGCATCATGGTTCACAGAGGAGGAACAAAAGCTTCTCTCTTGTAAAAAAAAAACGTTGATAAAGTTACTAAAAATGGAGGTGACCCGCAGGCCTTGTCAGGGACCCAACGGCTCGGGACTAAGCCGTGCCTTCCAGATGCTATTCCCTCGCCCCACCATTGTCTACAGAGGACATGACCCCCCCATCATTACCGGAGGAACAAAGTCAAACACCGAGTTGGGAGGGAAATGTATCAAACTCTGCAACTTCTGCAAGTTGTTCAGAAACAACTTCTGCTAAAGAATGCCTGTTTGTTTCTCTCAAGTCATCACATGCTAGCCAGCCTGTAGTCTGCATAGGAAGGCTAGAGAGGATGTGAAATTCAGGTTCAGCTCAATATGGAACTCTGGTTTCTCTGTAAAACCATTCACAGCCAAACACCACACACAGATAAAGAAGTTGGCATTTGGACTGTGAAGCGTCTTTCCTGATTTGAGAGTTAACGCGACCATTCACCGCTGCAATGGTTTTTAATCTCAGTTAGTTCTCCATGACTGGGTATAAACCCCAGTGCTTAGAAGAACATTTTGGGTCATGTCTACTTCAGATTTTTTGTAGCCATTTTATCTTATGTTTTAAAAATGGCAAATTCAATGAGGCCATCCAAGCCATTTCAAAGACTGATACTTTGCTATTTTATTCTGAGCTACACAGCTAAAAACACATCATTTTTGACTGTCAGACATGTATATTAAGTTTAGTCCCAAATGTATAACAGATGGAATATGCCAAAAGCTATCCGCAAGAGCTTAATTTAAATAAAAAAATTCCTAAATCAAACATCAGTTTTCAACATCAGTAATATATCAAATGACATAACGAATATTTCACTTGATTGTATATTTTTGTAGCAATTATAGGATGAATTTTAACGGCAGTTCTCATTTCAGGTACTTTTGTGTTGAAAGGCCATTATTCATCTCTAGTTCCTTACAAAAATACTCAGACCATTAAGGCACATAAGTGTAATATATGACCAAATGATTTTAAAGGTTTATGGAAAAGAAACAGAGTGAAACACAAATTAAAATATAGTCAAACGAGAGAGATAGAACGAGAATGGTTACAATTGTGTCATTTTGAGTGGAAGGTGATGGATGACACATTGGATGAATATGTGTAATGACCTCATACCTCAGCCTTTCTTTTGCACCTTGTGTTTGGTGACTACGTCATGGCTTTCACCTTCCGAAGACAGATTTGCTCTGTCATGTGTCATGCTACGTTAGCCTTGTGTCATGCTACGTTAGCCCTCTGTCATGCTACGTTAGCCCTGTGACATGCTACGTTAGCCCTGTGACATGCTACGTTAGCCCTCTGTCATGCTACGTTAGCCCTGTGTCATGCTACGTTAGCCCTCTGTCATGCTACGTTAGCCCTGTGTCATGCTACGTTAGCCCTCTTTCATGCTACGTTAGCCCTGTGATATGCTACGCTAGCCATGTGACATGCTACGCTAGCCCTGTGACATGCTACGCTAGCCCTATGACAGTTGCACTCAACGGTATTGACTCCGTAATTAAATTCTGTGTCATTTCGCCCCAATTGCCTTTGGAAAGGGACTCAAGATACTTTGATGTCTTTGAGTTGGAGTCTGCATCAGTGTTGGCTTTGTGAAACTACTGCCAAGTCATGACGAACTCAAGCTCTGATCTCTGAGCTCATTTGGCAGAGACAAGTGTGCTCCAGGACTCATCAACTCGTTTTCCTGTTCGCTATCTTGAGACAGATACATCACACACAAACACACACATACACGCACACACACATCCCTGCCTGCACTAATAGCCTACATGTGAATGCCTTAAAGTACACGCATGCAAATTCATAGGAAGACTCGCGTCCCAAGACGCATGCTTGCACATAACATGGCATTAACAATGAAATAACTAGTTAATAATTAGCGTTATAGACTCAGATAACCCCATCTCTGTTGAACCAGTGAATCAGCAGTATCAAACTGGGACAAGCATGAGCACACAACAAAGAAAGCAACCAACTTCGGGGCACTGATCTCACCACCCCAGAGACTTCAGTTGGTCCAACAAATCTACAGACACACACACAGTCGAATAAACAAAAGCTTCACATACACAATCCAATAAACAAAAGCTTCACACACACGGTCGGATAAACAAAAAGACAAACTGGAACAGCGGCTCCAGCCCTGACAAAGCACAGTGGTGGAACAAAATTCAACCAGAGGATTTTCCTATACAGAGCTAGTGGGGATGATGATGACATCCTCGGAGGCTTTCATAAGACCAGATGCTACATTAGCATTAGCGGAGCTGCTCACTTAGTCGCTCTGGGGATCCCGTGGAGAGCCCTCTGGTGGCTAGTAGGCTCCTTTGACTTCCCCCATACCACCATGACTTTACTTAACAGAGCTTTAGGGCTCAATTCAATCAATTTCGCGGAAGTTCAGCGTTACTTGCGTGATTGAAATTTAAAGGAATGTTCAGCGATACATACTGAATAGAGCCCTCACTCTGTTATCAGGGCATAAAATCCAGTCAGTGCATCTTAGCGACCAATTTCGCTGCTAAATTCAAGGTACAAAACTACTGCGTAAACTTGTGTCGATAGATTTGTTTCCGCACAACTCATGGTATTGCACAGCCAACTGCCTATAGTAATTATAGATGTCATACCAGGTTTGTGAGATAATTAAGTTGGTTAGCCTTTGTGGTGGATATCGCACTTGTGAAGTGCGAGTTGAAAGTTGTGGGAGAGGAAAAACTTGACTCACTTGTGGCCCATTTCGTGAGCGATGGTAAAGGCCAGGTTGAGGCCGTTGTCCTCGGCTAGGATGCATTTCCTTCTCTCGCTGCACATGCCGCTCAGGTAGGCAATGCCTGCAATGGGGAATAGGGAAAATAAAATGGTTGACATCTCTAAGGGCGAAATCCTATCTTTGTCCTCGGATTTTTGCCCATTCTTCAAGGCAAAACTGCTCCAGCTCCTTCAAGTTGGATGGGTTCCGCTGGTGTACAGCAATCTTTAAGTCATACCTGTGAAGAGGTGTAAATGAAGGAGTCAGGCGCAGGAGGTAAAATACCGAAGTCCAGAGTTTATTCCGTTTACATAAATCAAACGCCCAAAGCATCAAAACGAAACTATTCCAAGGGAAAACATCCACCTTGGCATAAACACAGTGAATAGTAGCTCAACCGAGCTACACGCTCTCACAACAAACAATCACTCACAAAGACAAGGGGAACAGAGGGAACACTTATACACATACTAATTAGGGGAATGAGCACCAGGTGTGTGTGATTGACAAGACATGACTAGTGGAGTGATGAGAATGGGATCGGCAGTAGCTAGTACTCCGGTGACGATGAACGCCGAAGCCTGCCCGAACCAGGAGGGGGGGCAGCCTCGGCGGAAGTCGTGACAATACCACAGATTCTCAATTGGATTGAGGTCTGGGCTTTGACTAGGCCATTCCAAGACATTTAAATGTTTCCCCTTAAACCACTGGAGTGTTGCTTTAGCAGAATGCTTAGGGTCATTGTCCTGCTGGAAGGTGAACCTCCGTCCCAGTCTCAAATCTCTGGAAGACTGAAACAGGTTTCCCTCAAGGATTTCCCTGTATTTAGCACCATCCATCATTCCCTCAATTCTGACCAGTTTCCCAGTCCCTGCCAATGAAAAACATCCCGACAGCATTTTTTCTTTCTTTCTTTTTTCTTTATTTTATTTCACCTTTATTTAACCAGGTAAGCCAGTTGAGAACAAGTTCTCATTTACATGCTGCCACCACCATGCTTCACTGTGGGGATGGTGTTCTCGGG